GGCAGACTCTAGTCCTGGTGTGGCAGTCACCCCCATGGCCTCTTCCACCGAGCTCACCTCTGCTGTTTCAGTGGTGATGGCAGTGCCTAAGGCTATGGTGGTGACCTCTTCGGGTACAGCCCACACCCCTGTGACATCCCCCCTGGTCACGTTCTCCTCCTCTGGGGCAGCTGTCTCTACTGTGACACTGGTGGCGAAGAGGTCCGGCAGCACAGTGAAGCCCTCGTACAGCTCGGTGGCGGTGGGTGTGATTTCAATGGGCTCCAGGGTGGCGATGCTGCCACGGGCCTCCTCCTCCGTGGCATTGCGTGGCAGAGGTAGCTCCACTTCGGTCTGGGTGACGGTCTGGACAGTGAAAGCGCTGCCAAGCTCGCTTCCCGTCTCATCGATGAACTGCCCTGGGACCAGAGTCTCAACGTCGTCCCCTACATCAGGAGACAAAGCAGCGATCAGAGAGGACATGGTCAGTCTAGCAAGGTGTACTGCGCTGGTGCTGCCTCCGAGAAGAAGCTGGGTGTTTGCTGGCTCTGAGAGGAGCAGGGAAATCATGACGGTCTGGTGAAAGAAATGGTTTTCCTTCCTCCACAATGGCTCTCTACAACACCCCAGCAGGGAAGGTACCAAGGCTGGTAAATCAGAGAGGACTTCTTTCCCTGCTCTCCTCCCAGCTCTCCTTCCCGGGAACACCTTGCCCATATCCAAGTCTGCACTGACCTCTAGTGCCTGCTGCAAGGAATTTAAGGTGGCCGGAGGGAAGTAGGAGAGCTTGGATAACCTCCACAGCAGGTCTGAGCTGTGGGAGAAAGACAACTGGATCCTCACACTCAATGCATGAAGTCTCACCAGGATCACTATCTCCTTCTGCTCTGCCCAGGCGACGACTTAAGAGCTCATCAGATGTAAGCATGCTAACCCCATCACCAGGACAGCCAAGGCCACTTGTTGTACCAAATACATTCAAACAACTCCCACCTTTCCCCTCCAAAATCACTTTTCTGCTCAAATCACATCCCTTGAGTGTAGGAGAACGTGCTTAACACGCCACTGAGCAGGTTAGCCTACAGCAAGGATGGTGGTTTAAAGAGCAGCATAAAACAGAACCAGGCAGGTGAGCGAGGGATGGGGTATCTTGGATATGCAGCAAGGCAGGTCTCAGCTGGGGAGGGAGAGATAATGAGACACTGTCAGGCTTTTCCCCTAATACTGCTTTCTCTGCTCTATTTATTTCCAATTCCGTTTTCCTGCTAGTTCATTTTAGCCAGTACCTCTCAGACCTCAAGGGATTCAGAGAATTAGGTAGAGATGCTCAGACAAGTTCTGGCTGTACTCAGCAGCTTCAGATGCATACCCTGAGGTAACCAGAAGGCTGTGGCTTGGTGGCCCAGTCTTTAGGTTGGCCACGTAGCTGGATAACTCCAAGGGGCCTGGGAGGTTTTACAGGGCCTCCTGACACACTGATCACACATGCGTCTGGGCACAATAGGTCTGCATCAAAGGGATTTCAAAACGTATTTTAAAATATTGTTATTTTTTTAAAGATGACAATCCTATTTGAATGTTAGCCTCTGGTTTCCCTGTATAGACCATATACCACTGTGCTTCGCCCCCTCCTTGCTGCAGGGACAAGAGTACAATTAGAAGAAAGGGAGTAGCTCGGATGCTCTCCACCTCCTAGGTGCAATTCTGCTCCATTTCTAATTGCCGGAGACTGCTGCAGTCTCCGATTTATCCCAGCATGGAAACCCAGGCATGTGTCTGTACCACATCACAGCACTATACACATCTTCAGGGTCAGATCTGTTCTCTTTTTCCTTCTCTTCCATCTTCAGCATTCAAAGTCCTGTACCTGAAGCACCTGAGCTCTGTTCCATGTCTCCTGGAGAGCTACCAAAGCTGGAAGGCGTGGGAGGACCAGAGAGAAGAGGGCCGTGTTACACCCACCTCCTCAGAGCCCTCCCGTACAGGGCAGGCATCCGTGCTCTTTCTGGACTCTGCTTCCTACCTGAACATGAACGGGGGACTAAGTCCTTTGCCAAACCTGCTTTCCCCCTTGCTTTTAAAAAAAAAACAAACCCAAAACAAAACAGCAAGAGGTTAGCTCTGGCCAGGGAGCTCCTGCTTGCTGATATGTAGAGACATACGTATTGCTTAGTCCCACAGCCTCGATGCACTCACCGCTATAGCAGATGGCATCGTAGCGAGAGTGGGGGTGAGGGTACCCTGTTTGGTTGACGTACAGGTACACCGTCCGCACGCCCACCAGGTTTCCTCCGCAGTTGGGCCGTGCTCTGGAAATGGGGTAGCGGACGCTGCGATCGGCCAGCCAGCCTGCGCTGCACATGTCCATGCCGTCCTTCCAGGCCAAGTACAGCTCTCCTGTGGTGGCCAAACGAGCTCCCAAACTGCGGCATTTGTCGAAAGCTTCTTGGAAGGTGAACTTCTCAGGGTCGGTGGCATAGAAGACTTTACCTGCAGTCACACCATCCGTTAGCACAGGAATTAGCTGTAGAATTTAATCCCGATACCCTTTCTTTCCCCTTCCCACTCCTGACAGTCTGGATAAGATGAAAAGTCCTGTGTATTACAGCTGAACTGCAACCCCTTGTTGGTGACTGTCTATAAAGACCAGAAGAAAGGGAGCCTTGCAGACCGAATACAACTGGAGCAAAACGCATCAAACCAGCTGGAGCCACAGGGCAAGAGGAAGATAAAGGACAATTTCAGTTCTGACGTGCTGAATATTTCAATGGATCCCTGGCATAAGTATGGGTGATGGACACGCCTGAATGTCACACCCTCAAATGGATGACCAGAGACACGCAGGATGGCATGGGCTCTGGTGGAGGCTAGACGGACTCCACCCGCTGTACTGCATTAGTCATTTGACATTAAAATTGTCCAAGGTCTAACAAAGAGACTGTAGAGAACACCTGGCCTTGCTGGGCTATGTGCTTTTTCATCTTTAACCCGTTTTGCCTCTAGGCCCTTTGCTTCTGTATTTACTGTTGTCCAGTCTGGGCATGATCAGAGCTTTGGCTGCTTCTGCGTCTAGTAACAATAAAAGCCCCAAATTACCTTGCATTTGCTCTGCATAGCAGTAAACATCATAGGTTTCATCTGGCTCGCGGACACCGTAGGTTCTCACTCCAGGAAATTCATCCTTGTCACCGTAGCAGCGCTCCCGGGGCCAGTGGATGGGGTACCTGGGGGAGAGAGGGTGCATAAGGAGTTGGGGGGGCAGGACCCTGGCAGCCGCAGCGAGGCTGGGAGGGAGCTGCTGAGCACTGCGCAGTGTGATGCTTCATGGCTTTTCCTGGGTTATGGGGAAGGGGAAGGATGATCTGCTGTCCTGCCCTCCCTCTGATGGTCCTGAGCGCAGCAGGTCCCTGGGAGCATCGGCCAAAGACAACAGGCCAAGGTGCCTCCCTCGTGGGGGATGCACAGCTCGGTACGGCTGAGCCACACTTGTGGGTCTTGGCATAGCATCTGTTTTGTTCCCGGAGGATGAAGGATCAGGATTAAGCCATTGTTCGCTCAATGTCACCACCGGCTGAGGAGGACAGTGGTCACTCTACTTTCCTACTATAGATTCCCTCCTGGCAGAGAGTGGCTTGCTACCCACCACCTCCCTCTGCACACCAGCAATTACAACAGCCGCTATTTAGCAACAGTTTGTCAACCGTTTTCAGTTGGTGGCTTCATTACAGAAGTCCTTCCCTAATGACCCTGCCGTGGCTCTCCTTTCCCCACCACTGTTCATTACCTGACAGTCTGATCAGCCAGCCAGCCAGCATCACACTGCTCGTACCCATCCTCGTAGGCAGCTTGCAGCTGCTCGGGAGTAGCAATGACAGCGCTGTTCTGGATGCAGGCCTGCTTTGCTTTCTCGAAGTTCAAGGTGTACCTTGTGGAGATTGCTCTGTAGTGGAATACGATGCCTGGAAAACACGATGGCCATCACTCACACATCTGCTAGAGAGGAACCAGCCCCTTTCCTCCCAAAGAAGTTAGGGATTCAGAGAACAGAGACTACATGTCAACTAGGAACAATGAACTATTTATGCTGATTGTCTGTATTTGAGCATCTCAGGCCAAGGGTGACTTGATGGGCTCCTTTCACAGGACCTTGTGGAGCACATTGGTGACCTAGGACAGCGACTGCTCTCCCATGGTGCTGTAACAATGTCACGGTGCATTAAAAGCCTGCACCTGAATAGTAGTGTGAACACTGGGAGGAAACCCATCGCCCAGAACGCAGAGCTATGTTGCTGTCAGAAGGACTCAATACTTTCCTGATACAGCTCTGTGCAGTGTTTTAAATGCATGGTTCAGAAATCAGCCAGTGGGGTGGAGCAGGGACCGTGCTGCTGTGCAGGTTGGAAAGCTGCAACCCCTCAAGGTCCTGCTCAGGACCAAGGGTGCAGGGTGTCACCCACCATACAAACACGCAGGAAACAAGAGGTAAATCCACTTGAAATCTCCAGATCTGCTGCAAACTTCTCTGAGTTGTACTTTTTGATGAACAGGGACCTTCACAAAGGATGGCTATCTGTACACTCTGATCTGGCCTGAGCAGACCATGAAGTGGAAAATTCACCAGGAGGCAATGAGGGGGCTCCCAGCCTCCACTGTCAGCTATAGGCTCCAGTGTACGCGACCAGCAGAGACCCACTGGTTAACCGTTGTAGTGGAAGCTGTCTCCCTGGCCTACACTGAAAGCAAAACCCACGATAAATATAAGGATTGTAGGAAACTTAACTTTTGCTATTTTATCCACCGATTACTAGGATGGACTTTGCAAGACTATGGGGAAAGTTTTTCCAGAACAGACCGATTCTCCAGCTGAGGGCATCCCATCTCCTAAAATGTTTGGAAGAAATAAATGGTCTTATAACAGCCCTGACCCAGCTTCACGCCTCTGAGCAATAGCCCAGCGTATCCAGTACCACCTCCTGCCAAGGACGTCGTTTTGCTGTCTCTGTAACTCACCTTCTGCCAGAAGAGTAATTTTATTGCCATATATTCTGCCATGAGTCATTTTACTGGTTTAAACAAACCAGTCTGGTCCTAGCCTGCTAAAGTAAATGCCTGGCCCATGGCTTCTGCTCATCTGCCCAGGGCCTCATCTGTGATCCGACCTAAAGGATTTATGCCTACGGGGAGAGCAGCACCTCCTCTGCCCATATATTTCTTCCTCCCTTCTGCCCAGGCCAGGCAGCAAGATCTTGAGAGGAAAGAGCAAGAGCAGGATCTCACCTTTCACTAGGATCTCTATTGTGTCTTGTCTGTCCTCAATCCCGTACATCACTTCACAGCGATAAATCCCAGTGTGGTTGGATCTCAGCGCTTTGATTTCCAAGGTGGCATCGGTGGGAATGGCGGGGTAATTGGGCAAAGAGATCGCCTCCCTGTACTCGGTGTTGAGACGGATTTTCCCACCGGTGGCCACTAGCAAGACAACTTCGGTCCCGTTTGAGAGTTTGCTCCATTTGATCCGTGGGGTCAGCAGAGCACTGGTGTCCTGTTCCTCTGGGATGTTGAAGTAACAGGGGATGTTCAGGGAGCTTCCCAGGACAACACGCAGGGGAGACTGCTCAGGTATCTTCACTTCCAGGCCATCACTACTGTCTGCCAGTTCCCAGAAAAAGCAATGGTTACATCAATAACGCATTTAATCCAAAATATCCAGTGTTTCCATATGCTCCAACGCCTATATCTGCTTTGTAAACCTGTACCCACATATTCAGACACACCCTTTTTGATCTAGTCGGCTGGAAATAACTTGCAAAAGGGGAGTTACAACCGTGACCCTTGCGCCATGGTTGCTTTTGGGATTTGGACCAGTGCTGGATGTAGGAATGAAGGGAATGAAGGGCCCTACTGCAGTGTAGCTGCTGCCCATGATACGAGATCACACCTGATAGGGTTTAAGAAAGGGGAATGCTGAAATTCCCTTGGTTTCCCCATAAATCTGCCTTTGCCTGGAGCTATCTCCCTGGGTCCCCAAGCCCAGGAACAATGACAGACTATGGCATAGCAGCCATCCAAAGAGAAGAGCCCTGTGTGTACGCAGAGCAGATCTTGGGTACACTTATTTCTGGCAGCTGCCCACGTTTGGGGATTGGACCAGAATGCAGCACATCGCTCAGCCCCGCTTTCCCACACCCCGGGGCACGTACCTGAGAGCTCCACAGAGATGGCTGTGGTGATGACTCGCAAACACACAAACACTAATAGTAAAGTGGTCATAGTTTACCTGCAAGAAACAACACAGGGAGAAAGGATTTATGACAGCTGTATGTTCACAGGGAGCCGAGTGCTGCGGATGCTGCTGCGGGGCAGTGCAATGCTTTCAGCCGCCCCGTAAGCCTCCTACATGTGGCTGGCACTGAAAGCCGGTCCTTGGGGAAGGATGCTGTCTCCAAGTGCCTCTTGCTTCAGGAAATGAGTCCATGAGACAAATAAATAAGATGCTCTGCTATGTACAGCAGACTGAAGTGTTGTTATATATCACTTCTTATATTTCTCTCCCATTCTCTCTCTTGTGATTCAATCTTCCCTGTGGAGCAGAAAGACAATTTTCCAACATTTTCACACTTATTATGTGTTTACTCAAGAGGGACCATCACGTCCACTAAGCCTTCTCCTCGGAACAGGAGCTGCCCCTCACCAGCATCCTCCATCCAAGCCAGCAGTGGCTCTTGGGCCAGATGGTTGGATGCATTTTGTATACCTTAAAATGCTCTGAAGGGAAATCTGCCTTCTCTGTGGTGGAAAAGCCAAAGGTTACAATGCTTTGGTCCAATACTCTTGCATTGACAGCATACATAGCCTTAACTGCAAATGGATCCTGAACTGATACAAGAAATCCACAGGATACAATCCTGAGCATCTTAACTCCACCCTAAAAATATCCTCTTGGGATCCCTCAATGAGTCAGAGCAACCTGCTACTTCTGAAAGCTTTAAGAAAGGAAAGGAGCATCCTCTTGACGTTAAATGGCAGAAGCAATACAGGGAGGCCAACTAAATTAATCCTAACTGGATTATCATCCGGTATAATATCGTGGAATTTTAAATAGCCATAAATGCTCAAGTTGGTTTTAATATTTCAAATAAAACCCATGTCCTCCGGCAACACAGAGTCGTTTTGTGTCATATTTCAGCACTGACTCAGAAGGAAGGACTACACCTACTGAATCACTGGTGTTTTCTTTGAGGTCACCTGGCCAAATATTGGCTATTTAACTCCTATGATCTAGAAAGATCCCAGCTGACTTCAGCTGACAGGGAACATTCTGAGTATATGCCTATCGACCTCGCAGAAAAGTCCATTAAATATCCTCACTGGCACAAGAAAAAGCCAAAAATAAACCTCATCCTGTACAGTCGAGCATTAGCCTTTCACTTATGAAAAAGTTGACCTCCGTGCACTCATTCATTTCAACCTGACACATCACAAAATCTTATCTTTGTGAAATCTTTAGTTAATAGAGACAGCTATACTGGCAAAAAATGGGACAGAAAAGAGCTGGAATACGTCGGCAGAGAAGCACGGAGGCTTGAGTTTGCAGCTGTAGGGCTGAACAAGACCAAATGGACATATCTCAATTTCTGCTGGGCCTGGGAATAAAATTTCAGGTAAATGCCAACCTCAGGGAGGAACCGTGGGGTGTGTGTCTGTTTGGGTGTCTCTCCCATTAGGACTGGTATCTGCATAAACAATGTATTATGAACCTCTTCTGCAGCATGACAGTTGACTTCATCATTTCCCTCTATTGATGGCCAGGACCGAGTCAACTGCCATGCCGCAGAAGCGGTCAAAGTGTTTGGCAGTCAGTACCTGGACAATGGCAGGGGAACGTGCCCATAGGACGGGCTGTGGGGGCAAGGAAGTGCCTTCAGCTCATCAGTAAGCAAGGAGAATTGGAAACACCATCTGCTATGGATAAACAGTCTGAAATCAGCTTGGCTAAACAGCCATACCCAAGAGTCCTTAAAGAGCTGGCTGAGTAAATTGGCCCACTGATGTTCATTTATAATCTGTGCTGGAGCACTGGGGCAGCTCCCGAATACCAAAGTACTGTGCCAATAGTCAGCCAAGATATACAACGATGAGCCTCATAAATATATGCTAGTTTGATTGACACAAATTCCAGGCAAAATAATGGAAAATCTGATACAGACTTCAATTCATTAAGCACTGAAGAATAGGCGTAATATTAATCTTAGTTGAGGCACTTGTATATAAAACAGGTGCTTCCAAACTTGATTTTATTAGTTGGCATAATTCTACGTTTGTCTGATAAAGCTGCCTGCATGGTTGTAACATAATGTAATTAGATCTTGATAAGGTTTGACTTTCACAGTGTTCCATGATGTGAAGATACGTAATGTCAGTAGTACATACATGAAAATGGCTTAGTGAAGCCTAGCTGGCAGGTCTCAAAAAGGAGCCATCTGAGGGACACTGATGCTGAAGGAGGTATTTCTAATGGGCATCTACAGGGGTCAGTATTAGATCCAATGTGTTTCCAAATAGACTATATTTTAATAGAATCAAATACAAAACTATACAAGGGATGCAGAACATGCCTGACAACGGGATGTTGTGTCCTGGAAAGAGTCACTCAGGAGAGCTACTGCCATCCTCTGACACAAAAACAAACAGGAATACCCCTCTGTGCATCAGTGGTAAGCAACGGGAATACTGTGCGCGCCTCTGGGCTGGCATAAGGATATCGGAAAAAGATGGTGCAGAACATATCCACCAGCAAGGATCTGAGGGCTGGAGGAAATGCCTTATCGGGGGAGACTAGGAAGTCTGAATTTAATTGTTGCGACAACAACACACAAAAAAAGACTGAGAAGTTGACAACAGTGCACTAATATTGTTTCAAGCAGAAGCTGCTGATGCTAAAGAGCTCTTTGATTTAACAGAAAGTCATCACCAGAACTAATAGCTGGGGGCCATACGCCAAGCAACCTCAAATGGGAAACAAAGCCCACATTTTAAACAGAGGGTGGTGGATCATTGGAACGGGTACCAAGGGAAGCAATGGAATTTCTATCCCTTGGTGGCTTCGAATCCAGACTTGAAGGCTTCTTTGGAAGACATGGCTTAGGCAAACACAAATTAGTGGGCTCAATACAGAGGCAACAGGGTGAAGTTTAAGGGTCCTACATTCACAGGAGATCAGCCCAGAACCGTCCCTTCTGACATTAAAATTCATGAATATGAATGTATCACTCTTTCGATCTCTGCTCTTGTATTATTCATCTTGCCTGGCTCTAGGCAGTACAAAGAATCATGTTTATGAATATCACACACATTTTTTACCTGCCTTGTAGGATCTAAGGCAAAAAAAAAAAAAAAATCCTGTAAAATTAACCCCCTTCCCTGCTCAGTTGCAGCCAGGCATGCCTGAAGTCCACACAGGCAAGGCATCCCACGGCTCCGTGTTAGGCAGAGAGAAAGGGATTCAGGGCTAAGCTGCCAGTGGAGGAGGAGGATAAGAGCTTAACCCGTATTTTGGGGAACATCTCCAGGTTATAGACCAGTCACTGCTAACAGATGAGACACTGCAAAAAACTTCAAGCAGAGACAGCTTCTGCATTTTGGCTTATCTTTAAGCTTTGGGGGGAAACTGAAGTCCACTCTCTGAAGCGTATTCTTGTTTAGTTAGAGGAATGCTTCCTACAGGAACAAATAACTGTGGGACGGTGCATCCAGAGCCCTCCTAGAGTAGGTCACTGCTTTCACTATGGACCAGCCCGACATTGACTGAGGACTGTCTCCCTGGAACGAACTGAGGTTGCAGGGTAGGCTCAGATTATTTCTACTCGCACCATCCCAAACCTGCCATTCCAGTGGATATCCTCATCATCTGGATAAAAGGAGAAATAGGAAGGCAAAGATCATGGGAGTCCTGGGAGCAGGGGTAGACCCTCCAGGGCAGAAGGCACTTGGAGGGGATTCAGGTACAGGACACTCTCCTAGCCATTAGTAACTAAGTCTTTAGTCATGATACCTGCTCAAGCATTAAATAAAAGCTCTTACTTCTCCAGGCTCCTTAAATCAAGTACCTTTCAGCAGGCTCTGCATTTTGCCAGAATCCAAGTAAGCTGAACAGCCCTGAGTGTCATGCGATAAACTCGGCCAAGAGAGACAGGCAGCTTTAGACCCTGGTTGGGTACCAAAGAATAAAAACATCCTAGAACATGGAAACAGAGATGTTTAAAGAAAACGGGAGCTGGCTGGCTGAAAAGACTTTTAGGGTCCGTATCTACAGCAAACCGGTATTGTTCCAAGTCCCACACAGTTGTTATTTCTGTGTACATTGGCAATGGGTAGGAGGAGAGCAGGTTCATCTGTGCATCAGTTAGACATCATGGAACAAAATGCCCTAAATAGAGGAAATTCGCTTTGTCCCAAAAACTAAGACAAGCCCATGTACTTCTAGTCTTATTCAAGCTTTATGCTGATCTTTCACAAGGAAAAATAGCCTCATATGATAACAGCTGGGACCAGCAGTATGTTTGCAGTTTGGTTTAGCTATGGAGAAAAAAACCAACCTCCTCTTACCCCACAGAAGCCCAGAGGCAACAGCTTTTCTTTGTGAGCCGTGGCTAAACAAATCACAATAACAATGTTTTGGGTGTATTCTGCGAAAGTGTTGACTCCCTGCCAGTGAGAAACCCAGCCTACTCCTCAGGGTGCTCTTTGCAATGTTGATCTCCATTTTTCATTCCCCTTAAGCGCGCCAAAGAGATCCAACCCTGAGTCTGCACAGAGCTCTTGTCGGGATTCAGTATGCTGGGAATGCCTTTGATTAACATCCCATTGTTACAGCAACGGTCCTGTGCTGCAATACTTCCACTCCATGTTGTCTCTAGTGGGATATCCAAGCACATGATAACGAGCAAACAGCTGCTTGAAGGAGCAGATCTGGAAGCAAATAAGTAAAGACAGCGGTCTGTCTGAGCAGACGTGGATAGCACAGATGATGGAGGCCTGGTCTGTTTAGCCAAGGGAACTGGGGAGATCATTCCTCTCATTCTAAAGCAACATCTAAAACAGATTATATAGCACATACCTCAAAACTGATGACCCCTCTCCACTGACTGCCAGACAAGAGGAGGGTGATTAGCTCAAGTGTGGATGTTGTCTAGATAAGTTGTGCCCAAGGAGCACGAAGGTACAGTGCAGTGTGTGGGAGAATTGACCTGGACCAGTGTGTGCTTGCTGAG